CACACCCCTGCCTTGTTCAGCTCTTCTTGGTGCACAATTTCCGAGATGCTGGGCTGTACGTCCTCGTCATGGAGTTTTGCTCTGGTGGGGATCCTTTGTCAGCAATGATCATAATGAGGCTGCTTGCTTGGGTCCCCCTATTTTGACGCATACCCTCCCAACATGGCACCTGACAGGGGTCCCTACAAGACGAAACCTATCTTCCAGGTACCGCACAGGTGCTATGCTAGGGGGAGGGTATCCATTTCAGCTTCACTCAAAACCCGGGTCGATGAAGGTGAGTAAGGGACAAGCCCAACCATAAATAGCTGTGGCCGCCTTCTTAATTCTTTGCATGGCTCTGGGTAGCCCATTTCAATATCGGGTTTTAATGACTCATTTGTTCCCCTTAACCCCAATGCGGGGGTATGGGACAGGACGTGCTGCAGCGCATCAAGGCCCAGCGGGACCGCTTGACCCCCCGGCAGTACAAGGCGCCCTCTACGGCCGTGCCCTGGATCGCTCAGGTCTTCCTGGGACTGGCGCCTCGCTTAGAACTGGCCTTACGCTGAGGGGGTTTGAAGGATTTTGGTTTTGTGACCCAAGTGAGGGTCCCACGTTTTTTTGGTTGTTGTTCGGACCGCAGCCAATGATCGACTTTCTCAGTTTGGCAAAGTCGCAAACTTCTCAACATTTTGTTCGGGTCTCGGGTCGCGTGGGCCTTGGGCACCGTCGTCTAGGTGTGCGGAGTCCTCAAAATAAGACTTGAAAACCTCGGCTTTTGTCCAACCCCCCCGCAGCCCCCCCCTTTTGACTCACTCATGATGGAACCCTGTTGTCCACCGGGGTCACTGGGCAACTGGGTATATATGAGTGGAATATGTTTGAAGAACTTTGTTGTAGGGCGATGATGGCGCAGGAGAAATAGGCCCCCGTTGATTGACAGGGGGTTGCAACCCATGTTGGAGGGGGCCACTTCTCTTTTTGGGAGAGACATCCCCCATGAATCTGTAAGGTTGATGATCCGGGTCAACCATATGGGGGAGCCTCTGCCCAAAAGGAAAGAAACAGAGAGGACTCTTCCTATACCCAAGAAAGGATCCTTCCCTTTTCATTCTCCCATGTTCCTGCATGTTCCCTTAGTACGAGGGGGGCTAGATGAGAGTAATGCACGGAGTGGGGATGTTAGTGGACAAGCCCGCAAAGACTGCAATTGGTATGTTTGATGGTTCGGGCCCTGGAAACCTAGCTCCTCTTCAACCCGCAGCCCAAAAGTAAGAAAACAAGCGCCCGATTTCCTCATGACAGGAGCACATGCATCTGCGCATGCAGACGCTTCTCCGAGACCTCAAGCCGGAGAACGTGGTGCTCAGCGAGAACTGTGCCAAGCTGACGGATTTCGGCTTCGGCCGCTTCGGCGTGGAGTCCACGGGGATCTGGTCCTTTGGCATGCTCCTCGGCGACGGAAAAGGTAGACAACTCCCTTTCCAAGCCCATGACTCACATGGTCTTGTTTAAAGGGCAAAGCAGATATAGCCCCAAAGGCCCCCCATGTTTTATTGTTTTTGAGTTTTTGACATGTCGTGGGCTTGTAGAACAAAGCATCACTTACTGAAGCAATGCTGCACCAAATGAAGTTTCAACTCCATCAATTTATTCAAGCTGCTCCTTCATCAGCATGCTTCAAAATTTCACAAAGCCTGCTTCCCAAACTCAAAATTGCTTACCAGGCCGTGTTTGAATAGTAGCCCCAAACCAATCACACAAAGGGCGTAGTACTTCAGGCGCTCTCTTCTCTCTTCCTCCCAGTAAGGCCACCATCCCTTGGGCTGCACAGTTCAACGAAACACAAAATCAAGCTCAGCGGTGCTCAATCAAAGGGAAGCTCAAATCCAATCAAAAAATGGAAGGAAGCTGGGCCGAGTACTAAGCAATTCGACATCAATTGATTGGGCTGAGGATCTGTTTCCTGGGTCTCCATTTGGGGACCGACTGATGACCCTGGCCAGGCCCACTGGCAGCCCTGGCTATGTGGCGCCAGAGGTGCTGGCGCAGCAGAACTATGATTCCAGAGCGGATCTCTACTCTTTGGGGGTCCTCGTGTGGGTTTTGCTGACGGGAGGCAGGGAGCTGAAGGTTTGAAGCTGAAGGTGTCCTTTTGTTGTGCACCAAGCTTTGTGGTTTTTGCAGCACGGATGTGAGTCGCCGACGTCCAAACAAATGCCCGAAAGGACTTCTCAACAAAGCGGACCCTTTGCCGCCCATGGGCAAGATGAAATTCGCGGGTGACTTCGCAGCCCACCAGAGGGACTGCGAGATGTTGAAGCGGTGCTTAGAGCAGCCCGAGTCCAATCTGGCGCGACGACTGAAGCCAACAGAGCAAGACTTCGTCGCGAGGCTGATTCCAAGACGGCCGGCGGATCGCATGTGCCACTCGGATGGTTTTTCACTGGGATCTTGCAAGTTTTGCAATACCTGGTTCAGGTCCAAAGTAAGGGCGAACGAAGACCAAAGTACGGGCCAAGTTGGTGGAACCGCAAGTCAATGGGCTTTGGGATCCTGCGGCTCAAATGAGCATGCGCTCTAGAGTCAAGAAGAGGGCTTACCAAAAGATCAAGTGTTTTTTTTAAGAGTGCCTTGCGAATCAGTCAGGTTACAAATTCTGGGTCAGCAAAATCATAAGGCTCCATTGGAGCCCCCAATTAGGTACTCAGACTCAGACTCCTTTAACCCCTCCCACCCCTCCCACAAAACCCGCCCTCAAAGGATACCAGCCAATGGGATCCTTGGGCCCATGGTGTTTTTAGGCCCACTTTCTGCGTTGCCAACCGGGCTTGAAAGTGCCAAAGGAGTGTGGATGGGTAATATTGGTGCGCAAGGGTCATGTGGGTCATGTTTTGAGGGTGCCATGTTTTCAGGGTGGTTTAAAGGGTGTTTTCAGGGTGAAATCCACCATTCTGTGGGCGCCCTTCTTTGAGACAAGCCCATTTTTTCACCCTTAGGCCACAAGGAGATCAGGGAACACCCGCTGCTACAGAAGCAGCTGCCGGCCTTCTCCGCCACTTGGGCGGAGGTGAACGCCTGGGCCAAGACTCAGGCTGAGGCGTCACAGCGCTGAGCGATCCGCGCGGATGGGGACAGGTCAAAACAGCGCTGTGCCAGGGCAAAAATGGGCGTGGATCCCCCAATCGGCACGGGAAACTGGGAGTCTCCTTGGCATTTGTAGTTGAAATTCGGTGGACCCTTTTCCCATCCACGAATAGACTGGAAATGCGGTTGTCTCCCAACAAGGGTCGCCCTCTGAAATAGGTAGTTTCCCTTCAAATTTCGTTTGAACCACTGTGAGCCGCCGCAAACAAATGATGGCACAACACTCTCAACTGAGAGAAGGGGCTGCGATGGCTGGGGGAAGTTTGGCCATGTTCAAGTCCGAGCTGTTTAGAGTTCAAAGGCAATCCGCAAGATCCTTCGCGTGAATCGTGTCCATGTTGTAGTGATTCCCCACTAGTGTTTTTGGATAAGGATTGCCCAACCCTACATTTTGAACAGTCGGGGACGTATGTCTTCCTGAGAGGCCTGATGTTGAGCACCCCCAAAGGGGGCCCTTCCAATCCCTATTTGAACCATAGAGAGCCAGCTGCTCTCCCACGACACCAACGCAGCTGCATAAGTTTTGGAGGTGCTTCAGGCCTGATGAAGGGCTCAGGGGTGATTCAAGGGACAAGCAGGCTCTTTGACTGCAGAAAGGGCGTCTAACCACGATAAGGAAAAAACAACTACGACAGGAATAAGAATACCGATGATAAGAAAATAGCCACGACAAAATAACAATGTCCTCTCAACATTTCGTTTGATTTCCCTTCATTTCCCCTTCATTGCCCTCCATTCCTTTCCCCTTCATTCTTTCATTTCCCCTGTTGGTTAGCATCTTCTCTTCGTAGTTCAACAGTTTGTTGGTAGCCGCAGGGTCTTCCCTTTTTATCGCTGTAAAGCATCATTTGACCGCTCGCTTGGCAGGAGATGGCATTTCTGCCTTGATCGCCTTCTGCTACAAAGCTCAGTGCTCAATAATTTGTGGAAATTGACATGTCACATTTGGTGGCAAGGTTGCAGCGGCGACGCATACACGAGGCAAACGCTTCCGCACGCGCGTGAAAGCAGGACCAAGAGCAGCAACGAAGGAACTAGCACAACAAAATTCGTGTCAAGGTCTCATGCTGAATGTTGAGTGCCTGATCGGCATAATATGGGCATTGGCGCGAGCTGGGAAGCCTGTGGGTGTCAACCCTTTCATCTCGAAAGTTGCATTTGTCACTGAGATTCAGTGATTGTACTGAGGTGAGCATGAGTTCGGGGGCAATGCATGCCCACGAGGCAGAGAACAGAGTCAGAGTAAGTGGTTAGTGAAGTCAAGTGGGCTGCGTTTTTGACTCAAGGGCTTTTTGAGAAAAACAGTCACTGGGCACCAAGCAATTTTGCCTGTAAATTCATCAAACCGAGCTTTGTTCTTTGCCTCTAAGGCTCAGGGCAAAGACGCCTGGGCATGTCCAGCTATGCAATTCTGGCTGTCTAGGAAGCTGCACGGACCATGACTGTCATGGCATGTTGGCGTGTAAACCGCCTGAAAGCTGGTTGGTGAACATGAATTCCCATGTAAATATGTCCACCAAAGGGTCCCCAACTCAAAGTCTCACATGGTCCTTGTTTGACTGCAGTCGGCGCTGTGACAGGCACAGCCTAGGGGTCGTGCCCAAGACCGAGCCACTGGCTCGACATGGAAAAGAGCAGCAACCTTCAATGATGCTTCCCAAACTGCAGCCAAGACCTAAAACTCTTGCAGCTTCTGTTCATTGAAAAAAGAAAGGCGATCGGGGATCCTTTCTATTTGGCCCTTTGGAGCTTCCTGCAGGCGTTTTCAGCGTGCAAATCTCTCGCATACCTATTTGATTTCCGTGGCAGATCGGGGGAATCGTCTGAATCATGCCACGATTCAACTTAATGGGAGCTGAGCGACGTCCAAGGAGGACATCGAGACGCTGATCTCAGCACTCTCTCCTAGTGCCCTGGTCGGTGGCAAAGCGAAGGGTATGGGGTATGTCATGAGTCCATAAGTGTACCTTTTTGTGGGAGGGACATTTGCCTCCTGTTTTGAACGGTCACAACATCAATGGCAACTCTCGCGCTATAGGCTCGCTTTGCATATATCATATGGCATATGGCGAGTGGTGAGGCAACTCATGAAATAATGGGTGGATACACCACGACGAGCTGAACGCATCAACATTCAAGCTCCATAATTCAAATTCAGAGCACCTGAACATCGTGCAAAGCAGCTTTGCCGTGCCACATGTTCACCGTAAACAAGGGACGCCTAGTCACAAGGTTGCCCGCAAGACTGAACCCAAGGTGGCCTTTGGAACCGCTTACTCTTCAGCCGTGGCCTAATACCAACGAGGCTTACATGATTAAAGGACACCATTTCTGAAGCCGACACTGGCCGGGTCGTAGGCTGTGATGCCGCCTCCTTGACTCGCCCCTTGGCCTAACATATCGGAAGGTCTCGGAGGCATGGCACATGCTCAGTGCGAGCCCTAGCAGATGCACATGCAAACGCGTGTGCAGACGCCTGTGACAAGTCCAACTATGCAGTTGGTCATCTCAAGCACTTGGTGTTTCATAGGTTCGGTGAGTTTGGTTTCACTCTCGATGCAAGACTGTTCAGAGAAGGGTGCTCAATTTAAGGATCCTGTGAATCCGCGTCGCTTTTTTTTTGCCCCAATAAAGTGACAGGTTTGGGTTACTGATCAGAACCCCTTTTGGAAGGAAATCTAATTAAGTCAAGCCACTTTTAGTGGTGATTTTGAGGGTATCACTTTAAGGGGCCCTGTTTCTAAGTGTATTTGTTTGCTTTTTTCGCCCCTTGCCGTGTGCCGAGGCGACTTGACGCTTCATGCTTGCCGCCTCCCTCAGGGCTCCAAGCTTTGCCAAGAGAGTGAGGCAGGACCAGTAGTTCCATTGCTCCTCGCACCACTCCTTGCAGGCGAAACGGGTGCTTATACAACTTATACCCTTGACGTAGTATTTGTATGATAGTCAGAAGCCTCAGTTTTCCAAATCAAACATGTGATTTGGTGGTGGAAACTCGTTGGCAGCAAGTTTGAGCAAGTGAATGCATCGCCTTTGCTTTGTGCCTGTTGCTAATATGTGGCTTTGGATTCTGCTGCTAACGATCTGTGGTTTTCCGTCTCGCTTGTGGTGCATTTTGCCCGTTGGCCAAGTAAGTGTCCCAGAGTTACTTGTTTGGTTTTTCAATTGCGCCTCCGGCAAATTTAAAACATGGTATCCTTCGGTGGGGTGCTTGCTTTAGAGGAGGTCGGATTTCCTAACTAGAATGTCGGGGCGTTTTGCCCTTGTTGAGATGTTGCACAGGTTTGAAAGCAACTTTGTCGCATATTTTCCGAGGGCAAAGATACAGCCCGTGGAGCAATGAAACAGCCTGCTGTACCATGCTGTACCACCCCAAGTAGCCTTTTTGTTGAGTGATGCGTGGCTACCTGCAATGGTAGGCACGCACCAATGTCGCTGACTACCTGCGACCCTAAGCCGCACTAGGGGAAATGCCAGTGGCATTTTATGTCCATTTCCCTGCCCGAAGCCCAAATGGCTCTGTCTCAAAGTGGGGCACCCCCTTTTGGACGGTTGAAAAGGGAAACCTGGATAGGGGCCCTGGTTTTGAGAAACACCCAAGTCACGCATCGCCATGGCGAGCGCAGCAGATGTCAACCACCTATTGCACGTGAAGCCGCCTCTTTGCAAAGGATCGCTGGAGACGCCGGCGAAGCTGCGGTTCCAAACAGAGGCACGTACATTGGCATCGTTTGTAGCTTCGAATCAAGGGAACAAATCGTTCAGCCAATCTTCTTACGAGCGTAAAAGCACGCTCTCAATGATACAGGGCCTTGACTTGGGTTTTCTTACAAGTGTTTGTGGTTTTGGAGTTTTGGAATTATAGCAAAGCTAGGTAAAGGGCCTCCTTTCGATCCCAGGAGCACCTGCTACTCGCAGCGAGCAATGCTGCTGCTGCGCTTCAGGCGCTTGCGAGAACAATTGTGACAGGGTCCAAGGCAGGCTTTTGGCAACACAGAAATTGCTTGTGGCTTGATTCAGCGTGGACTCCTTCTAATTCACCAGCCAAGAGTCTTGTTTGGTCGTGTTTGTCCTTCCCTAGCACCCTCTCCCTTGCGCCACCCTTTGGCCCCTCGCCTTGTGCCACTTGCCCCTTGAGCAGACCAGACGTTGCACGAAGAGGGGTGGGTCACTTTTTGCTAACTTCACTGCTGTTGCAAGGCTGTGCCAGAGGCAGCTGATGAGGTGGTGCAACTTTGGCCGCTTTGCTAGAAAGCTTAGATGTGGGCTGGTGAGGCTAAGGGTTCAACTTTGTCAAACGCCTGCTATCTCAAGGTTAGAACGGATGGTCACAAACTGTTACAAAGCGTTGGGAACATCAATTGGGAAAATGATGTGTTTCCCCAAGCGACAACTTTCCAGTTTGGCTACGTGTGTGCAACGAGTTATTTCACAAGTATATCTTATTTGGAGTTATGAATTTCCCTTCATCATTTGAACCTTGTCCACAGCAAAAACAGCGAAACTCTGAAAGGGCATGTGAGCAGCCGTCTTTACTGTCGAGCACGGTAGCACATGGAACAACAAGGGGCATACCTCTCACCATTCCCGAATGAAATGAGGTTTGCGCACCAAAGTCCCATTTGCGCCTTGTGTGGGAGAGTTCCTGGAAGGCGACTTGGGGTCAGTGTTTTGACTCGTGACTGTTAAGTGTTGTCAACTTCCACTGGGTTGTTTCCTTTGCACTTGGATGGTGATGTTGATGGCAATATCGCGAGGGCAGTGCGATGGTTGTGCTTTGTGTTTGCTTGCCATCAGGCAGTCACTGCTGTCCCTGCTCGCCGGGGTGCAGCTTGGTTGAGCTGGGCTTGGGGATGGGAACTGGCACCTCTTGAGGACAGAGCGGCCCCCTGTGACATGGAGCCCCGAAAGCGGCCCCAGAGCCGAAAAATGCAGAACCCCTCGAATGGATGGCTTCCATTTAGCTGTCTTTTTTAGAACGCCTCCCAGGCAGGGGTGTATCCCTGAAACTCAGCTTTGAAGCGGTCCCTCGGTTTTTCTAAGCCACTCTCCTGCTCGAAATCCCAACAGTTAAAAGAGGGGGTTCTTCAAAACAGGGTGCCCCCAAACGCATTGGCGGCTTTCTCTTCCCTGTCAATCCACAGAAATCGCACCCTTGAAGAAACACAAACCCATGGAACCCACGGCCGCGCGACTCCCAGCCGCGTCAAAGGTCGGAGCCTTTGCGCATCAGCTGCCGCCTGCAGAAGATCGTGGTGGCCAGCCAGCAGGCGGCGAACATCCTGCTGAAGGACGACGACCAGGCCATGGGTCGATCTCAGTCAACATGTGTTCTTTGGTCACCCCAAATGAGTGGAGCCCTGCAAAACAACTGCTTTCCTTGAAGCCTCCAGCTAGAGAAACAGGGAAGCGGTTCCCTTTTCTGCCTTTCGGTCACTGGTTGCATTTGGGTTTAGGCGGCGGCGTCCTCATCGATCACTTGATCCCACAAACTTCCACCGCCTTGTCACTTGGAATGTGCCCATTCCCAGTTCACCCTCGCATCAACCAAGAGGGCAACAATCGGCCGCAATCAACTTGTTTGGGGCCTATGATGTCAACTGAGGTGCCTATGTCGGGTGCCCTCTGTTTTCTCGATAACTGTCACCAGGTTTGTTGGGTAGTGTGGATGGCAAACATCCTGCACCAGCTGGGAGTTGCGTTAAACCACCTGCCGGCCGGCGCCGACCGGCGCGTTTCGCAGGCGGTGCTCTTCAGCGCGGACCAGCTGCAGGTGACGCAGCAGTCCCTGGCGGCCAGCTTCCGCCAGCGCTTGGATGGCCGGGCTTGGAGAAACGGAAGGGCTGACCCTCACGACTCACCAGGGGTTCCCTCAAAAGGGTTCGTCCCAAAAGGCGTTTCCCCAAAAGCAGGTTCCCAAAAGGAGGCTCCCCAAAAGCGCCAAAAGGGGGTCAATAATTTGGGTGTCCGGTTGAATGGATTCTAACTTGGGTTCCTTTCGGAAGCTACATGCAACTCGTTTAATAGAGCCCGCTGGATAGGGTCCGATGTTTGGGGGGGGGCAAACGGGACTGCGGGCGAGAGAAAATCTTTACAGGGTTTCCATTGAAGCTACTCACCTTTCTTTCAAATTTAAAGTGAGCTGCCTGTTTCCCCCCCCCCCCGTGAACCCCTTGTAACCATGATCGCTCACCACTCAGCTAATTCCTACGAGGCATGTTACCGTCCGATTTACCAAATAAATGGATTTTGTCTTCGGATGTTTCCCGCAGCTTGCACACTTGACCTAGTTTGTTTTTTGGGTTCTTCTGCCTTTATTGCTTTCTGGCTTCTGGGTGTTTCCCCATGCAAACCTACTCCAAGCCTAAACCGGTCTCAAAGCTGCAAGAAAGCAGCCTCAAGCCAACTCTTCATATTCTCAACCGACCCTGAACAAAGCCTAAGCCAAACCTTGAACGAGATCAAGCCGCTTTCTCCCAAACCCTAGAGGCCCTAAACCGACTGAGGGCAATCCCAAACCAGCGGAGACCAGATCCCCAACCAACCCCACCCCAATCCCAGCTCCAGCGAACATGAGACCAGCCCCCCCCTTTTCAGTGGAGGCCAGTGGAGGCTTAATCAATTCTTAACCAACCCAAACCCCAAACCAACCCCAGTTCCACCCGAAACCATCAGCCCTAAACCAAACCGACCCAAAGCTGAACCCACGGCGGCGACAACTCGGGAAGCAAGATTGTGAAATTGGCCTAGATCAAAAATAACCAACAACAATTGAGGGGGTCATGCAGCCCCGTAAGCGATCCATCAACTGGAGTTCGGCTTAGACAGACGCTAGGCCAAGCCAAAGCTGAGCCTAGCCACACCTGCAGCGTCCAATGCAGATTGCATCATTCGAACCTTGCTAAACACACCCCACATGAACTTTGATTCCACCCCACACCAGCCCGAAATCGGTTGCAAGCCAATCCGAACTCCCCGCAGATCAACCTTTAGCTCCATCCTATGCTGTCACAAGCCGTGTTCCTCTAGAAGAAGCTGTGGCTTCAATGCGCCCGCACCCAGTGTTTTCAACGACACGATTCTGTGCATATCCTGCATGACTTACTGCCGCAGGCTATTTCCAGGACTTGCCTTCCAATGCCACGGAGCTGGCCAGCTACAAGCCACCGCAAGGCGAAGCCGACCTTCCCAGTACCTTTGTGGGTCTAGTGCGCAGGGAGCTTCGTTTTGCATGTGGTGGTTGAACCGTGCTTTTCGATTGGTCAGCATTATCTCGTTGTTGGCAACGTGGCTGATGGCAAATAAATGCGGGCGCTGGCATGTTACCTTTAGAAAGTTCAGTCGATTAATTATTACAGTGCTGCCAAACATTTGGGTACCGTTTTCGGGGGTAGCCGAAGGCGCACCACCCATTTTGCGGGTCCCCTATTAGAGAATCCATCACTCCCCGACTCCCAAGCTACGGCGACGCGGGTGAGCTTGTGGTGCTGCCTCCCATAGAATCTCTGCTGTGTGCGCCATGCCTTTCGACCCCATTTGGACGAAATACCGACGCCCAGCTGTCTTTGAGGCGTGCGCTTTGTTGTCCCAGAGGCAAAAGGAACACTGTGGCCAGTCCAACTGCTAGTTCCGGACTCTGTCAGGCCTTCCGCCCACTGAATGTGCTACCTGCCTCATCCCGGAGTTTGTCAAAGTGGGGCACGACACGGCCAAGAGTGAGCCATGGCCAACAAATCCGGGCCCCAACTCCTTACGAAGGGAAGTGACGTCACCCTTGCTGATGTTTCAGCCAAAACAAGAGGAGGGCATATCTCGTGGAATTCCGTTTCTGGACTTGGATTTTTTCTATTCCCCTCAAGGTGGGATGCCAGAGGTGCCTGTGAGGGAGCGGGTATAGCTTTCAGCAAGGCAGGTTCCTACCCAGGCGAAGCGAGTTGAGTGATACAGTGAAGGTTGTGCTGAGGCGCATGTGTTGCTATAAGGCTTTTGGGCATGTCCTTGAATATTTTGTGTGTGCCTTTTTTCTCCGACTCAGCAGTCCTCGTGCCACAAAAGCACTGGGCATGCCACAGCTTGGTTTTGCTATTTTGGCTCTGGCCACGTCCAGCGACTTGGAGCATGTTCAAATCAGCGACCCTCGTAATGCAGGCGCTGGAGACCAAGGACCCTGGTCGACATGTGCTGTTTTTGCATTGCTGGGGGCACTTCGCCTGGAACAGATGCCCGAAATCCAGCTGGGCAGTGTGCAGGACATGGGGGAGGCCCGAATCACGCACAACCATCTAAATTCTCAAGACCGTCCTATCTTGCAGCATGGCGTGACGATTGAGCATTTGGTAGGTTCGCTGAATGAGAAGATGATGGGTAGAGAGCCATCGTTGATTTTTCGCACAAAATGTGAAGCATCGCTGAAGTTCCGCATCGCATACCAGCGCTATGATGCGATTGAAGGGCTATGCGGCGCCCCGCGTTCCGATCCGTGTTGTTATTGGAACGAGCATGGACATCACGCAATGCAAATCAGAAGCTGTGAGGAGAACACGGTTGTGACAGAAAACAGCTGGGGCAGTGAGCACAGGCAATTAACAATCCCTGGAGATATGTATGCATTTAGTTGCGGATTCCGTGTTACGCTGTCAGACATCATGGTGACGCGGCCGCACCAGACGGATTGGATAAGCTTGCAGTTGTGGCCTTCTTCTGCAATTGCCAGCCAACATGCACCGCATAGATGCCCAAATTGCAATGGCATCTTGGTGTGGCCAGACGGGCGCGCAGCCATACCTCGTGCAGAAAAACACATTTCATCAGGTGTTTTGCCCCCACTGCAATGGTGCCAATGTGTGGAGAGATGAGATGCAAACTACGTTGAAGAAAGTGCACGTGCACTCATCATTCATGCACGAAAGCTTTCCGGCAGTTGTGCTGCACCCACTGCAGTGGCAGTATTGTGCGGAAAGGCACCAACTTTGTTGACGGCAATCTGTGCACCTGCCCTCATGACTCTTGCAAGAAGGATTTTCAGCAGCTGCAATGCCCACATTGCGAGGGAAGAAATGTTTGGACAGGTGCCAGCTACGTTCCAGGCAAGAAGTACACTTGTGCTCAGGACACCTGCAAGAAAGCCTTGCAGCAAGTGTACTGCCCCCACTGCAGTGATTGGGTCTGGAAAGACGCCAGCGACCGCAAGTGTTGCCGCGGCCAGCAGGATGTGTTTGCACCCACGCTTGTCAAGCAATTGGCAACTTTTATCTTCGGACCTCTCAAGTTTTTGTGCTCGCACGTCCACGCAGTTGCGGCGCGGGTACTGAGTGCCTGATGGATCGGATGGGCAGCAAGTTGCTGACCGTTTTACGGAGCTGCAGAGTCAAAACTGTATTATGTCTTCATGTCCTACTCAGCTTGAACAATCAACACCTGGGTTATGAAATGAAGTTTAGTGGGGCACAGTCGAACCAGAAGTGCTTGTGGATGAAGCGCATCATTCTGCATGGACTTCTCTTCTGCCATCTTTTTGGTTATGACTCACATAAACAGGTCTACTTCAAGTTGGTGTGACTTAGAGTTGCTCGCAGCTTGCAATGGCTCAGGAATCAAGGCACGCGGACTACGCCTCTTGCCAGCAGGGGTTGGAAACCGCACATAGTTGGAAGGATTCGGGTTCAGTTTTGTCAGAAAGTCATATTGTTTGAACTAGAGCGAGCCTCCGGGAGAAGAGACAAGGACCTTTTCTCAACTTGCCGCACCTGCATGCAACAACTGGCAATTGCCTCATTTGGCCTTTGTTCATCAGCCCATGGGTTTATACATATGCAGTTGGCATGACGAGCGTGCATCACTTTCTATTCTGACAGCGTTTCCCTTGGCGTAGGCAAGTCCCGGCGGTAAGTTTGCTGGCTGGATGCTGCACAAAGCAGTTGCTACGTTCAGCCTCATGTGTCCCATTGTCGATACATCCCTCAATTGGGTTGGTGGGGAAGGTCGTCCAATCCTGTAATCGGAAGATTAGACAACCAACGTATGGGTTCCCATCCAGGGAGCCATGACCATGACCCCACAACAGCTTTGAGCATGGCTCATGTGCTTCAGATGCAGGGCGTGAATGTCGGCTGACGCATTGTGACATATGTTTGCCTCCCTACAAAAGGACTTGATTCGTCTCGCTGGTTTCTTTTTACCCCCTGGAGCCACGAACCCCAACAATGCATAGAGGAACTGGATCCTTTGAGGGAAAAAGGACATCCTTTCATGCGGGGGGGGGCTCCTCCTGCTCTTGCTGTTTCACAGTTTTCTTTTTTAGCTGCGCAGCAACCATATTTGGCAGAAGGACCACCCTGCCGGCCGGCCTGCCTCGCCCGGTTTGGTGGTTTGCAACATCGCCCTTTGGGCCAATTTAAGCGAGCCTCCTTCTGTTGGGATGATCTTTAAAGCAGAAATGTATGGAGCCCTGTTCAATGCTTTTTCTGCTGCGTGGCTGATTGGTTCGCGGAGGTCCGGTGCCTGGCGCAGCTGGCCATGGAGCAGTGGCAAGCCAAATTCCTGGAGAGCCTCGGCTTCATCGGGCAAAAGAAGTCACCCGTGGTCCTTTTTCAAGGAGTTCAAGGAGGTCGTTTAAACGATAAGGATCTTTCTAACATTAACATGTTAAAATAAGGGGGTGCCCCAGCGCTGTTTGGCTTGCCAAAGGGAGTTTCGCACGAATTGGTTCAAACGGCATTCCCCCCCGAGCTTTAAGACTTGTCTTTGGGCCAATCCAAAGTAATTAAGCTTGTTTTGGCTGTGTGCGTGTTTTAGTGAGCAATGTTGTTCCCGAAGTGATTTGACAGCAATCAGGCTCTTACGTGGGTGTGGAAATTGAGAAACCGCCCTGGGAAAGCCAATTGGAAGAGCAACATTTTAGGGGACCCCTGTTTTGAGACAAGCCGCAGTTCATTCTTCCGATTGCTTGAAACAACCTTCCTTGTGGTGTGATGATGTTTCTAGGTTAGAAATATATAGGGAACCGTGTTTCATCAGCTGCGCCTAGAGGGCAAGGCAAGCGGAATGTGGAATTTGCTGGCTGGATGGGACACCTGCCTTTGAAGCAGACACCCGTCCATCAACAAGACGTTCCCATGTGGCCGTTTTGCTCTCGTGATTCCGTTCGCCGATCGGAGGAACATGCGTTCGCCGATCGGAGGAACATGGTGCGCCTGGAGCAGAGCTGCTTCAAGGAGCTGCAGCGTCAGCTTGGCGCCGCGGCGCAGGGGCGACCTCTCTTTTTTTGGGAGCTGTCCCAATTTCCAGTGGCTTGTTTGGGGCATGGACCACGCCTAAGATGGGCAAATTAATCATAGATCAGCCCCGTGCTTCTGAACTTCAAGTTGCGCAGAGCAAGTGGATGGAACATTCACACCCAGAGCTCAATTTGCTCGTATCTCGGCTTCAAGAACGGCCCCTGGTCAGATCTGGAGCTCGCAGTTTTCACAGCATGTAGAGTAAGTTGCGTTTCAGATTGGAATAAACGTGCAACCCCGCAAAGTGGTCCGCAAAGCAGGTCCTCCACAGATGAGGGTGTTTGCTGCATGCAGCGCACAGTTCTTGATATGATGCTATGTGTGGAAGGGGTTGACGCGTATTTGACGAAGCACCTTTTGACAAGGTCACAGCGTCAGCACTTACTCCTGCCTACAGACCTCAGTCTTGCAACCAGCAAGCAAGTGAGCTGCTTTGGGGGTGTTAAGCTCACCGCAAGGGTTAAACGGCTAAGACGAGCTCGCTATCAAGTTGTCCTTCTTAATCCTGGATGCTGATTGATATAATATGATCAAACATTGCCCCACCAACAATCAGAATCCTGTACCAGCACGCAATCGTCAAATCATAGCACTTCGTGATATTAATCACGCATGTTTCCAGTTGGGGAGGCGGTTTCATTTTGTGGGTGCAAAGGTGAAAGGGGCTCAACGGGTCGGAGATGTAAGGCGAGCTCCTGCAGTGCGGGCTTCAGGAGGCCGGGCACTTCAATAGCTCGAGGTCTGCCACTTGCGGCCTTCCTCCAAACCAAGGTGTAAAGGACCGTGTTGGCTTGGATGTGAAAGACAGACACCCCCGAAGATTCGGGTTCCTGCGTGAGTCCGCCCCGTTCACTGCAAACTGAAATGGCCTGTTTCGCACCCGGAGGCACCCAAACTGGTTGATTTGTTCAAACTGCGCGATTGCGCAGGAGCAGCAGGGAGATAGTTTCGAAAAGTCACCCCCGCTCCGTCAATCACGGAATGGACGGAGTGTCCCCTTAGAATTTCGTATTTGGTTTCATTTCTCTTCGGGGGAAGACTGGACAGGTGGACTTGGGAACCACCCCCCTCCCCGTAAGGTAGTGGCGGGGTTGTTTTGAGCAGCAACGTGCTTAGGGCAGTGGACTGTGCAATCGATTTCCGCGGGTGGGGTCTTCAGCAGCAGATCCGTGTTAGTGTTGGTCCTTCTCCAAGAGAGTAATCCCAGAAAGGGTATTGTTACAAGCTAGTGTGTTTTGAGAGTCTTGACGGGAATTCAAATGAGCACTAATTTGGCGGGGGTCCCTTTTGAGCCACTTTGCGTAATACCGAAGGAAGCCCCTTCAAAGTGATAAGCTCGTCATGGAAAAGGCCTGCTTATCACAGAAATTGCCTTGTCCCACACTGGTTGTCAGGTAAACCCCAGGCCCGCTGCATTCGTGCTTTGCGCCATGGCGCGGAGCCGCAGCAGAAGGCGAACAAAGGTGCTGCCTGGCTATGAGCGCTGGCTGCGTGAGAGAGGCGCGTGGAGAAACCGGTTCTATGTGGGCGTTTGTTGTTGAACAGCACCCCATTTGCAGGTAACCCTTAGTTGCTTGGATTTGGTTGGTGGTTTGTGGATTTGAACCCCTGCTTGTAGACAGAACTTAGAAGCCCAGAAGATTCTAAGCACCCAGAGGCGTCCCTAATTGTAGGCAGAGCTCATAGTTGCTTACGCCCAGGTAAAGTCAAGCCCAGGTTTCTGCACTAGGGAAACACTTCAGAAGCTGTGCAGCTAGTTGATACTGGTCAGGGTGGGGAGTGCCACAAGTGCCAAGCATCGCGGCTGTTTTTGGTGAAGGTCCCTTGTATGTTCAACTTTTAGCTGCGACATGCAGACACAAAGACGTTTCGTGCCCAATCCAGATGGTTAGCTCATGCAGCAGAATTCGCTTGACACAAGCCTCGCACTGTGGCAACGAGCTTTGCCTTGAGCTGGAGTTTCGGCACTTGCACTCCAGGCTTAGGCTAAAGGGCTGATGTGTTTTATACGCAAAGCAAATTGAGATGCAGTCGTCCAACGAATCTGTCTTTTCCAATTGTCAAAGTGATCTTACTGAGAAAGGTCGCGTTTGTTTTTTGCAATCTTGGGAGGTAATCGCCCAGTTTCGGGGGACACACCTGCACATCTCGCAAGATCAGGGTTCGAAACAAAAAACATGACACATGTGTGTGTATATGCATGTATATATATATATATATGTATATATATATATGTACCATTGCTTATGGTCCAAACCAGCAACCCTCAGCGGTCCCAAAACTGAAGGTCTTTTTGGGCCCCTTTGCCAAAGCGTAACTCCTGTTACCAAGGGAAACAAAGGGTGGCACCCAAACCCTTTTCGTCCAAATGTTGGGATCCTTTTGGGCAAGCAACACTTTTCTGAAATCGCAGGTGTCTACTGGGACCAACGACTGTGCCTTCAGAAGGGCAAGACGGGTTGGGGCCTTTTCTGCTCTGAGTCGAGGCCCGGCGGCGTTTCATTGGCGTTTCATTGGAGAAGTTTGATTGTTCAAATTACTTCTACGCGTTAATTTAATTCAGTTATTTATTTGTTTGTTTTGGGGGCGGGGGGTAATTCCCCTCCAATGGTCAGTCGTAGGGTTGCTGTCCTACGTACTTGCAAGTGCGGGAGCCAGGGGAAGTCGTGTTTGATTGCTTTTGAGGAACTTGACATTGCCGCATGCAGGCAGGTTGAATGGTCCAAAAGTTGGCCAACAATCTCTGACCATTTGTTTGTCCGAGTGGATCGTCCTGAAGGGTGCCAAGTGCTATATTTGCATCGCAGAGCTGGAAAACATGATTGCTCAGAGCCTGTTGCAGTTGCCTGAAACTTTTGCACGGTGACATGCTTTTAGCCAAAATGCCACCAGGGTGAAAGTAGATGGCGCAACTCCCTCCCTGTCGACAATGTAAGGAGTGTTGAAACCCCAATGGGGGAATGTCGTTATCCAGTTTCACCCGACTGTACAATCAGCGGTCATCAGGTTCAGGCAAGCTTGAATCAACGGTGGTCCACGACCCAGAACCAAAAACAAAAAAAACCATATTTCCAGGAGTGAGGATCCCATCGCGCGAGGATCCCTCCGGGAGAGTTGCTGGTGGTGGTGCCGCGGGCCGCTGCCTTCACAGCCGAAGCCGCACCAGAGCTGCAGGCGATGGGAGAGGCTAATGTTTGTGGAAAACGGGCTTCCTCAGGTAGTGTCAGCTGGTGGTTTGGATTTGACACCAAACAGATCCTCAGCAAAGTGGTAAAGTAGTCATGAACTAACCACACTGGTGTCGCCACAACTATATGGCAAGCGGTGGGCACGAGGGGCGGGGCGGGGTTGCCCAAGCTGCGAATTGCATCCCAATGGTCAGCTAAACAGGGGGTATGAATCAATGGGGTCGACGTCGTTGCTAATTTTCACAGGGAAGACTCAAAACAAATCCTCAACCCCACACCTCCCCTGTGGCAGAGAGGCGTTTAAGACGTACGGTTGAATCCCCTGAATCGTGCAGGTGGGCCCTTGTCGCAGCATCCTGAATCCAGCATACACACCCCGCTGTACATAGTTTGAAAGGTGGAAAGTCCCTTATTGGGGTGTCCACTTGTGTCCAATTCGGGGGCTGCCCATCCCATTTTGACTTGTTGCCCCAGTTGTTCAATGGCACCCTTTTACCTTTGTCTTTAGCGGCTTTCGATCCGAGAAATAATCAGTTCCAGTTGCTTTGCAACAAGCTTTGCTCTCCGGCCGCAACCTTGGCATAGCTTGGCCGCCTTTGGAGTTCAACGCCCAGCAAACCTCATTTGGCAGGTTTACAACCCAATTTATGCCAAATATTCCGCGGCCAAGGGACATCGCGCTCTTCGCGGCAGGCCGGTGGTCTGCCTAGTGCCTTTTTGCACTTCAAGGAGGACGTGGACTGCCAGCTGCCGCTGGCGGCGGCGCTGTTGCTGGCAAGGGCCAGCCCCGGCTGGCAGCCCAAGCGCCTCGATGTCCGCGCTTGTTGTTGTCATAGGTTGCTGGCGAGCTTGGTAACCCAGGATGGTCCAATTCAAGAAAGGAAGACAACAGTAGGGGGCCCCTTATTTATCCGCGTTTGTCTGGAAACCTGAGACTGTGTTTCATCATGCCGTTCACCATGGGCGGAGCAAGGTGCGGAGCAAGGTGCTTCACTCTTTGAGTTCTGGCCACCCAGCGTATTAAATTCTATTCGCAAACCGGCGCCTGCTGTGGGCCGGGCAGAAGATTGGTCACTTGCATTCCAGGTCTTTGTTTGCATCTCAGGCTGCGGCCAGAGGTCACGCCAAGCAGCTGCTGCCTGGCCTGGAACTGGAAGAACGAGCTGCTGGCGGCTGGGCTTTGAGTTGGCGCTGTGGCGACTGCATGAGGCGAGTCTATCATCTCGCGCCCCGGGTTTGCATGAGGCGAGCCTGCGGAACCGAACATGCAACGTTGGGGTTCCGCAAAGTTCGGCCAGTTTAGCTGAGGTAGGCACCGAGCTGGAAAAGCCCGTGGCTACCAAGCAACGCCGCCTCCGCAACTCGCCTGGCTCCAATGTGAGGCTGGCAACGGCTTGAATCAAGCCCTTGAGCGGCTAGCATTTTCAACACCGAGCTCAGGCGAGGAGTACGAAATGCTTGAGCCGGTGATGCGTGGCCTTGGCCACAGGCGAGCGTTTGGGCCAACCACAGGGGGTTGCCACCCCAAAAAGGGGGTTCCAGTCCTTTACGTAGGATGATGCCTGGGTTGCAGGCGAGTTGAAAGGAGTTGAATACAGATTCATGCTGGCTTTGTCGCGGGTTGGCGCCTGCAGCTTTGCTCTCAATTCAAAAAGGGGCCTGGAAGGATGCGAGTTTATTGGATGCTCTTTGGCAGGAACTTCGGCCTACAACCTGTTGGCAATATCAGTTTTGCAGAGTCCCACTGACCACCAAAACAATGAATGGATAAATGGCGGTAGTCATCGGGCATTGATTCATGCACGTAGGAGTCGCAGCAGTCAGCTTGAATTAATTCAAGACACATGATGAGCTTCTGTACGCAATTGCCGTACTGGTGCAAATGGGAGCACTAGGCGATTCGGCTTTCCCTGACCCAGGCCCAAAGCACTAGGGTGTGTTTCATCCCAACCAAAATAATGGCTGACCCAACAGGAACAAACTTGGTTCAAAGCGCCTGTTTGGAAGCAACGTCAGCATAATTAGTTGATACTAACTGTGCCAACTTTCCCGTTTACCCAGTTGGCCTACATCCGGCCTTTGGACCTTTTGATGTGCCCTGCCGGGTCCTTCTTACTCATGGCCCGCAAAAAGGTGATCACCTTTTCTGTTCAGGCTTGTCGGGTGCATATAAGATCACCTCTCAGTGTACATTGCCGCATTGCTGGGCCGTTGGTTTGCCAGTCTGACCCTGGAGCAGTACACGGACGCCTGTGCTGTGGTCTTGTCCCGGGTGCAGCCCTGGTTCGGCGGCAGCTTGGTGCCTTTCGTCGACCAGGCGGAGTGGAAGCGGGTCGCGCCCATGGAACCTGCTCATGTCTTGCCTGAAGTTAGAAGACCGCAAGCTTGGCCAGCGCGGTTTTGTTGCCCAAGCCAAATGTGCCTGTGGCGGCACGTGCCAGTTGCGCAGGGCGGAGGTTGTAACAGAGCCAGAGCCGTATGCTTTGGGCAAGGGCTTTTCGAACCCCTTCTGGGTAAAACCAATTTAG